TGCATTATCTAAACGAATGTCCAGAGCCCATAAAGAAGAATGCAGTAATTCTTAAGCATCTCTTATATATATTTTCTTTAGTTAATTGCTCTAAAAATAATATTCCATTACAACAAAGACAAAGACTTTTCCCAGTGCACGCTTCATCCCTACTTTAGGAGCGTGCATATGAAAATCTTTTAGCAACAATTTTGCCAGCTAATGCGAATGATAAGCGTGCATAATATATTTGCTGCCATTAGTGCGCTGCATTTGAGCATTCCTCAAATTGTGGCAGCAGTGGCTGTGGCAGTTTCTGGTTAGGATTCTGGGACTCTCGGATTCTGGGACCTTTAGCAGGACCACAGCCAGGATGCAACCAACCACTTTCCGACCCCGTCCATGGCACATTTTGGAGCCATGACAAAGCGCAGCGTGCTTCTGAGTGCTCAATTTATGGTACTCGCCGGTTTTCCGCTTTTCCTTCCCACCCCCCGTACACCCCCCTCTCAGCACATTTTCCCACGGCCCACAAATCCGATTTCATTATGGAAAACGTGCGGCGAATTAAAAGTAGATTTAGCGCAGCTACAACAAAAGACGAGGCGAAAGCCAGGACAAATCTCGATGCAGTTCCATTCAGTTGGATTCCATTAGGAGTCCAGCCATCGGTGTGGAGTGTGTGGAGTGTGTGTGCGTGATGCATGAAGAGCCAATGGGGGTTGGAACTGAACTTGCAACGACAGCAATTGCAGCTGCAACTGCAATTTCCAATGCAACTGCCACTGCCACTGCAGCTTGCAACTCTGATATATGTGCATATCGTTTAATATATGCGAAGTCGCAGTCTGTGTGAATCTGAGACTAAATCATATAGTCACTGCTAAGGAATTTGAAAGAGAAAGAAATAATATAAGATGAATGTATAGTATAAATATTTCTATAAGATAAGACTTAAGGACTGGATTTGATATAGGAAAGAGAGGGATTTATATCTCCCTATAGGAATAGGAAGGAAATGGCTTTATTTAGCAAAAAATGGAACTTTAAAAAGTATAAGGAACACTTCAAAGGTGTATTAAATTTTCCACATACATAAAGTGGTTTAAAATATTTATATCAAATAGTTCAGCTTCGAATACCTCTCATCTTATCCCTAAATCCCAGGGTAGATACAGGACTTTCGCTGGCAATCCTTCTCGATCCAGCAACACCTTCGTAGGTAGTTAACATAATCAGGAGCTTGACAAGCAATCTTCTGCCATGCATTGAAGATGAGTGCCCGATGTCGCTTGTTGTTTCCGGAATTTGTCACTCGAGTGAGACACCCATGTGTGTGTGCTGTGTGTGTGTAAAGTGTGTGTGACGGTTGGTCTTGGCTTGTTTGTCAGGCGACGGCCTTTTCGGATTTATTATGTTGATGTGTGCTGCGTGTAATTTGAAATTATGCGTGGCAGTGCCAAGACGTATGCTTAACATAATCAAATAACTCATACGCACCGTGTACACTTGATGAACAAGGCAAACGGCAACGAAGGCAACGACGGTTCATAAAAAGCAAAAAGCGTAGGTGAACACAACTTCCAAGTCTCGGCTCTCTGGATTTTCATTATCATAATTTCTAGCTGATTTCATTGCGCCAGGACCAAGAAGCAGGCAAAGCAAAGGACGCAGGACTCTGGAGCCAGGCAACCTGTTAGCCCGATTGATACGCCCAAGTTCGCTTTTCAATTATGTGCCCAGCAGACGTGACTATCGCGCATAATGTGTCTGATATGTTCGGCGGATTCCCATCTCAACCTTCCCCCTTTCCCTCCCTGTGAATACCCGCACACCTTTTGCAGGTGGATGGCTTCATTATGCCTTTATTGGCCCCCTCTGAGTGAGAAGTATTTAAAGGTGGCCCGTAGGCCCGTATGTGGGTTAAAACGAAAAGGTAAACAAAAGGTGGCCAGCGAAGTTGGCCAACAAGAGACCCCTTTCCCCGCCTCGGCAAACATATGTATGCAGGCTTTAGTGGGGGTGCTTGCAAGGACCAAAAAGAAAATGGAAAAAGGGATTCAGCCACCCGAAATGGAAAAACGTGAAAAGTGCTGCCACAAAAATAAGTTTCGGTTTTTTGGTTTAGGGCACTGGGACAAAGGCAAACACAAGCACAACAGAGCGCAACACAGTGCGGAATATGAAATACCGGATGGTTCAGAGATAATTACCCTAAAAAACAGAAAGCTAAAGCAGAGAGAGAGTGAGAGAGAGAGAGAGCGGTAGAATGGGAGAGCGGAAAAGCCCAGAATTTCCCGCTCAACTTGGAATTTGTGGATCGTAACTGGTTTAGTTGCAACAAACTGTGATAGCAAATTGATAAAACGTATTAAATTGAAATAGTTTAATTGAAAAAGTATATTTAATATTAAAAGTGAAATAAATTTAAATAGTCTTGTTAATTAGCAGAAAAATATTCCACTTAACACTAATTTAATAGGAAATTTTGTGCAATTTGCAGTTGCATTTTTGTTTTATATATTATTTGAATTCTTTACTGAATAAAATTATGATGACAAATATAAATATATATAAATTTTGGCAATCATTGGCCTTTTTGTCTTCATATGCCTCCAAAAGACCCAAAAATATGTATTTTCTATTTAAATTAAATCAATATTTTATATGCTAATTTTTGAGTAAATCAAAGTTTTTCAAAAATCATAACCAAGCCAAAAATGAATTAATTTCCATTCGGAAAGCTGTTCTGTGCTAGTTTTTACAGCGTCAACAAATCTGCATAGTCAGTTTTTCAATTTTAAAAGATTCAATTTTTGTCAAATTTGGAAAGTTTGACTAATATAAATTTTAAATAAAAAAAATACAAAAAATTAGTAAAATTGTTTTTCCACCAGACATGCCTAAATCGATTCGGCTGCTTATGCTGATCAAGAAAATATATGATTTATAGGGTCGGAAATGAGTCCTTTAATGTTTTTTACGCTTCTGAGTAAAATTAAAATACCATTTTTGAGACGTTTTTTTCGACATTTTTATTATGAAAATTTGTTCGACAAATCAAAGCCTAAAAAACCGTAACTAAGTCAAAAAAGCATTAATTTTGGTTTGGAATGCTGTCCTATATTAGTTTTTATTAGATTAATAATTTTGTATACTGAATTTCAAATTTAAAGAACTTACGATTTTCATGAATTTTTTAAAATTCAAATATCAGAAATTTTACACCTTATAAATTGTGAAAATTAAAAAAAATTAAATATTTGTCGGACATAGCTAGATCGATTCGCCTTTTTATGCTGATTAAGAATATACATGATTTATAGGGTCGGAAATGACTCCTTCAATTTTTTTAAGCTCCTAAGTAAAATTATAATACCATTCTTTCAGCCGGTACTTATTTATATTTTATATGACAATTTTGTGTATAAATCAAATTTCAAAAAATTCATTACTAAGCCAAAAATGAATTAATTTCAATTCGGACAGCTGTTTTGTGCTAGTTTTTATAGCGCCAACAAATCTGCATATTCAGTTTTTCAATTTTGAATATTTTGATTTTTGTCAAATTTGGACAGTTTGACTGATACAAATTTAAAAAAAAAAAAAAATTAAAAAAAATATATTTAAAAAAATTTTTTACGAGACATTGATAGATCGATTCGGCTGTTTATGCTGATCAAGAATATATATGATTTATAGGGTCGGAAATGACTCCTTCAATGTTTTTTAAGCTTCTGACTGATTTTTTTATACTAGTATTATGAAATTATTTGAAAGTATTTTTATTGATTATTATAATTTTAACACTTAAACTCCTTTTGTTATTTATTATTTTCCCCACACCTACATATATTTAATTGTATTTTAACTGTTGACACACATCACTTTCGAAAGACGAAACGTAAACAAAGGCATCGAATGCATTCATGAAACACTCAAGATGAGCATTCTCGTTCGAACATGGAAAACAGCATCCACAACATGAATCGTATGCCGCTAGAGAGAGCGGGCCGGAAAAGCGCTGAGAGAGAATTTCCCGCTGTGGAAAACCACCAGAAACGAAGGCGGAACACGAACCACAACCGAATGACTTGTGGATGGCAACTTTTGGTAGCAAGCTGGTGGCCAGCAGCAAGCAGCAGCGATGGCAGTTAGGATGTGCAGTTCCAGCGGTGCGAACGTGTCCCGGGCGCGCCAATTGGCCAAGTAGCCGAATAGCCAATCAGAAATTCAGCCGAATATGCCAACGCCTGACTAGAGGGCCGCGGGTCGCGCGTTATTTTGTGTAAATAAACAGAAGAAATCGTAACGAAAATCAGCCAAGGCAAAAGAATCAAAAGCAAAAATCCAGCGGAACAGCAAACAAATAGTAGCCTTCACCAAGCATCACCGCATCATCCATCAGAGATCGGCGGAATTAATTAATCGGTTTCAGTGAGAAAGGAAAAGCAAAGAAATAAGACACACGCACAATAGTTAGCAGAATATGCCGTAACGTATACGCCATGTGAGCCGGAGGATCGATGGGATCGAGCGTGTGTTCCGGCCAGGCCATGATAGCAATCCCCTCCTGTACATAGTCTCACTCTCTCTCTCTGTCATGTGTCCGTATCCGCCACTGTACATACTGTTAGACTCTAATTGATTAAACCACAAATAGCAAAAAAATAGAAAAGAAGAAAAAACAAGCAAAAACCAAAAACCAACATAAAAAGTAAATAAATAATACAAACATATATAGCTCGGAAAACGCGCGCGCGATTTTGCCGCACGCACACACAAGTTTCGGTGGTAAACGGGTATAAATAATCGAAATAATATTCGAAAGCTATGGTATATATATGCTATATAGGTATTAGGTAAATTATTAGGATTCAATTGGGCACTGGAATTCGCGCGCAATCAGAATTAATTATAAATAAACGGGCAGCATCAGCAGCAGCAGCATCATCATCATGGGACCAATGAGACTCTAGATCCGCAGAGTTCAATCACAGCATCAATCACCATCATCCACCATGGACTACAGCCGGCTGAATGCGAACATCAATACGGGCAACATTAGCACCGATGAGTTCCTGGCGGTCTTCACCACCGGCCGAACGTCGGCGGAGAATGCCACCCTTAATCCGCCCCTCCTGGCCGTCGATGGGCAGCTGACCCTGCCATCTGGCTCCGGATCGGGACTAGGTTCCGGTTACATCAATGTGAATGATACGATATACCTGCTAAATGGTAGCTTTTACAATAGCAGCCTCCAGCTCGCCGGTGGCTACTACAATCAGACCTCCGGAGCGGCGACATCCGGCAACCTGACCAATCCGAATCTCACAGAGGTCCATTGGGACGGACGCTATCCCAGTGGCTATACGCTCACACACATTGTGATCGCCTCCATTATTGTGACCATCCTGATGATCATCATTGTGGTGGGCAACATGCTGGTGATCATAGCCATTGCCACGGAAAAGTCACTGAAGAATATCCAAAACTGGTTCATCGCCTCACTGGCGGTGGCCGACTTCTTCCTAGGCCTCATCATAATGCCCTTCTCGCTGGCCAATGAGCTGATGGGCTACTGGATCTTCGGCAGTTGGTGGTGCGACATCCATTCGGCGATGGACGTGCTCCTCTGCACCGCCTCGATCATGAACCTGTGCCTCATCTCGCTCGATCGCTACTGGAGCATCACCAAGGCGGTGGACTATCTCAAATCACGGACGCCGGCGAGGGCAGCCGTCATGATTACGGCTGTATGGATAATGTCCGCCGTCATCTGCATTCCCCCGCTGCTGGGATGGAAGGTCAAGAGGCCGGAGGGACAACTGCCCAAGTGTCAGGTAAGTGAGCTCAGCGAAAAAAAAATAGATTCTTCCACACATTCCCAAGCGAAATTGACGCTAATTGAAGGCAATTGACAACAATCGAAAAATGGTACACAAAGGCAGAGTCTGGATTTCAAATTAAAGACTCAAAGTGCTGGCGAATGAGCTAAGTTTTACTAGAGTGGATTTTTGTTATAAAAATACAAATAAAATCTAAAACAGTTTACAAAAGCCTAAGAAAGTTTAGCATGAAATAAAGAAACCAGAGTAGCAGAACTCTGTTTGGTTTGAGGAAAGATACACATTTCTTTAGCCACAAATTCTTTAAACCACAATTTATAGTCAAAAAAAAACATAAAATCTGAATTTTATTTAAAAATCAGAGCAAACATCAATTGAAATTGATTGCAGATTTAAAATCAATTTATTTTATCAACAAGATTGGTTAGAAATCAAATGTTTAATTATTGTTTATGTTAAAAAATGTTAAACATATAAATATTTACCCATTTAAAACGTAAAATCATGTCTGTAGAATTTGTAAAACATATTTATATAAACAAGATGAAAGGCAGAAGAGCAAACGAAATTAAGAATTGATAAATGCCACCTTTAAGAAAAAATCCTGAAAAGCACGTTTCATATATCTTCCCCCAAAAGTTATCTCTATTTAAAGAATTTTCATACATAAATTACCAACGATCTTTCGTTTTCTTTCCGTTTATATCTACGTAATTTGGCTATTCTTGGCCACATATCTAGCCCAATTTAGCCACGTTTTTTTTTCATTTTGTATTATTTAGAAGGGCAATAAATGCCATCGCTGCTGAGCACTCTCATATTTGCAAACAATAAAGCGTCGAATAGCTAAAATGTTGCCAAGCAGTGCGATAGCAACATGCAAAGCGCAAAATTGCGGCCTCTTTGTATGCAAATTTCGCAAGTTGCCGGCACAATTGTCAGATCGTTGGATGGTTTTCCTTTCCCCCCTCCCGAACTCACGATTCTTGGGTCACGCAGAGAATAAACGCAGAAAATATTTATGCATATGAGTGGCGGGATACATTCCGAGTGTGTGTCTAATTCAGCTCCGGCTCAAGTCGAAGGACTTCAAGCCCAAGCCCCAAAAAGTAGGCTATAATCCATAGAAATATGCGCATTATCATGCGGGTCCTGCCAGTGGCTGAATTTGAATTTGAATTTCAGTACTGTGAACAGAGGGTTGGGGGGTTGGAAAAGCGTAACAAACTAGCTGGGGAAAATTCACAAGAGAAATTCCAACATCAGTAGCTACCACAAACTGGCACACTCTGCTCTGCCTGGAGCCTTTTTCGGTGAAAATTCTTTAAATTTTGCCACAAATTGAAAACGTCCTTCAAACGGGGAATCGATGCAGTCACTCCTCTCTGGCGATGAGTGAACCATTCAATCACAGTGACTGACTCCTGCCCCCGGAGGAATTTCAGCTTAAAGTTCCTCCAACGGAATTCAAACAGTTTAAACATTGTTTAAAAAAGGCAACCAACTGAGAAGAGTGTGTTTAAAAATGTTGTTTTGCTTTGGTCAGTGATGGTGGTGGGTTAAACCACAATATTATTTATTGCAATCATGATAAATGCGTGATGGTAGCAAAATGGAAAATGCAAATAGCCCGCGGGCATTTCCCTCCATATCGTTCGTATCTGAATCTCGCCTGTCTCCAGAATTTTTGATTAATTTTTTTTTATATACTTTTCCCTGCTCACTTTTTTCCTTTCGTACAGACAAGTGAATAAAAAAATGAATGGAAGAAGGAAAAAAAAATAGCACAATATAGCAGAGTATAATAATAATAAAGTGGAGCAAGGAGGACGAATGGCAGACGAAGGACACGGCCAAATAAAGTATCTTAATATAGCAGAATGCTTACGTAAAGTTTGCCATTCAAATTAACCTTGAGACAATAAAAGCCAGGAGCCATGCCAAAGAAGAGTTTTCTGTTTCCTTTTATTTACGATGACCAGCGTCCAGCGCATTGGCTGGACACATTAATCAAGCCTAAGTGGCCCAGGATCAAGTTCCTTCCCATGTTCCATGTTTTTAGCGAATTTTAAGCAGCCTTAACAACACAAAAATGACAATTTATAATAGGGATAAGGTATCGATTACCAAGGATTCCCTTACTGAACCCGTCACTCCAATTAGTTTGGCGGCTTTTTGGCCAGCCGCTGCAACCAATCAGCCAACAGCCAACAGAGAGACATGAGACACGGGTTCAGGTTCAACTCTGTCCAATCGTTAAACATGTCTCCCGGCCCAAAAATTTTCGGAAAGGAAATGCCTGTCGGCCATATGGCCTTGTACGAGGCCCCCGCCCATGTAAAACCTCCAATTTTCAGCCCCAATACGGGCGACGGAGTGGCATGGCCTGGTGAACATTTTAATTATGACACCATGTTGACATGTACAAAATTGTTGTTCGTCGACACCATCACCACCGCCGACTTTGTCGTCGTCGTCATCGTCGCACATTGAACCGCAGTACAAGCCGCAGGGGAGGTGGCCAAAAAAATTTGGTGGCAACAAACGGAGGCGGTTGCAGGAGGCAGAGGCGCTGATTTGACACTTGCCTGCTCGATTTAATTAATAAAAAAAGAACATTTTAGAGCGCAATGACACTGATTTCAGGCCACTCGGGTTTGTCTAGCCATTCAGCAAACTATTTTGGGATGATTGTTTTATGTTTAAACAAGGCAAATGCAGAGAGGGAAAGTTTTCAAGTTGGATTAAAGTAATATTAATAAGTTATATTAATAAGTTAAGGCAAGTTAAAGTTGTACAATATAGCAGTTCTATAATGAATTTATTTAAAGTCGGTATCCTTGGCAGTAAACATGAAAATTTCTCTCAGTTTCTTTACAAATATTTTCTGACTGACGTATTTAATTGTCATCAGCTGGTGGCGGCGGCGGCGGTGAAAGTTTTCCTCGCTCTGATTAATGCCAAACCTAATGAGGTGTATCCTGATACGAGAATATGTGCACCCAGTGTGCCTGTGCGTGGGTGCTTGTTATTTTTGGAGGCATAATAAGGCCCGCTGTGAGGCTCAAAATCAGCTGGCATTGTTCGAGGCACATCTTAATGGGTGCAATTTCGCTCAGCAAGTGCCTCAATCTGGGGCCAACAAACAAATCTACAAATATTCCATACAAAAGGCCGCTTATTGAATGGAGTGGCCACTGAGTTGGGTGAAGGAGAAATTCTAATTCCACGAAACTACATTATTCAAGGCGATTTCTACCCTCCTCCTTCGCTTGGCAAACTCAAGCTGCTGGCCATTGTGAACGGGTTTGGCTTGGGGGGATCCTTTGAGGACGACAGGCGGTGGCGAAAGGGTCGCACAATGGACCTTATTATAATCCGTAAAGGGGCAAACACTTTATTGAAATATTAATCGAATATTATATACCATTTTACGGAACACGCACACAAAAGCCAACCATCACAATGGCGAGCAACAAATGGCCGGACCAAGATGAAATTTATAGAACTCAATCATGAAAGGAATTTAACTTGAGTCAAGAAGCAAAAGTTTTGAGCCCAAAATCAAAGTAGTTAAGACAAAAAGGGTGGAGGCTTAAATTATGGGCCCACAGTGCGTATGTGTAATGTGTAATGTGATGATATGCCGCAGCACAATAACGACTTAAGTCATTGCCTAAGTAGCTCATTAGCGTCTGTTTTTTGCCGGCACTTTTAAGGAAATTAAGAGAAAACTGTAGAGGGGAAAAGCAGAAGGTAATGCACATAGGAAAACTATTGGATTTGAAATGGATTTAAATATGTTTCTAGTGAAAATTAAATACCTGAAATATCATTCCAATAATTTATCGCTTTTTAAATCAAAAGAACTGGTAATAATACAAAATCCCTGAAGAAAAATAACTTTACTTTTAATGTAAGAAATAAAAGAATCGAAAGTATAATGCAAATCTTGACTAAGTCGAATTTAATTAATAAAAAATTTAGCAATTTCGACTGCCTATTTCTTGTAGCTAATACATATAAAATATAGGGTACCTTATACAACTTTTTCTTAAGTGTATAATGCCTTTTCTTCAATCTCAATGTCGTGGCCGGCGGCAGTCTAGATGCAAGGCTTTAAGTTGACATTGAGCTCAGGACAAGAACTTGGGTCCAGAGTCCTTCCTCCTCCCGTCTCCATCCTCCATATCCAAGTGCTCATTCCAAAAGTCCACAGTCCGCAGTGGAAAGTCCAAAGTGTGTGCGTGTGCCTGGGCACTTTTGATATTTTCTCATTATTTCGTACATGTGCATGTTGAGGCGAGTGTGCGAGTGTGCGGGTGTAGTACGTGTGTGTGTGTGGCTGTAATTCTCGTTAGGTCTTTGTTACATTTCATACACTTGACTTGCTCGGCTCAAGACCTGTTGTTGTTGTTTCTGTACTTACATTTGCCATCCTAGATGCGCATGTTTATGCGAGAGTGGAGGTCCTGTGTGTGCCTTGGCCGTGTCTGTGTGAGCATAGTAGCCCTTTACGTTAGCTAAAGTATTTTACATTTTTTTTCGGCAACATTTTCATGCAAAAAGAAGGCAAAGAAATGCCAGGAGCCCGCAACGAGAAAAAAAGGTTCAACAGCAATGGGCTAATGGGCTTAGTCCTTGAGATACTTTCCTTCGGGGTTCGGGTGTAAGTCTGCTTGTGTATCTTGCCCTGCACTGGCAGAAAATGTCTAAATACTTTATAAAATTTTGTATATTTAATTTAATTAAATGGCATACAAAATAATCTACTTCCTTGGTTATTTATTTTTTGTTTCAAGGCTTCTTAGATCAGTTTAAATTGTTCATTTACCAAGCCATTACTCCCTTTTTCTCTCTCTGCTTTTTGTAGGTTAGGGTGTTTAGTATGTGCCTCCAACCGCGTTTCCACATCGTTGGCAAAGTTCACTTTTCTTGGCCATTACGGTTTCTGATGGCTTTTAAGATCATAATCAGTGGCATTTATTTTCAAG